GTTGAAAATGCTTCGGAAAAATATGGGAATCGTAAGCTTCACCTTTAGGGGTTCAATGCAACAGCGATATCCTGTCGCTATAGTGCGTACAACAACCACTTAGCCATACTTATTATTGTTTGGCGTTAAGCGAAGTCACAATTGTAGATTATTACAAGGTAATGGATAATGTTGAAAGTAACCAGTGTCAGAGAGGCTTTCGCATATGGCTGCATTCTGTTTAATGGGTACTTTGCTTTAAACCACGAGCAATTACGCCCGTGCAATGTTTTCGAACCCACTACGTGGTTCAGAAAAGAGATGGTAGAGAAGGAAAGGCAGGGAGGTTAATCAGTTCATGACTGCTTTGCTGCCCTACCCATGGGGTCAGAAAAGAGGAGATTGAAAAAAAGAAAGGAAAGAGTAGAAGGAGAAAGAAAGATAGCACATAACAGCACTGACCCAACGATGCAGTCAGTTACAAGTCCATCACGCTCGCGTGGTACGAGACATCACTGTCAGAGCCGCTTGTTCAAGTTAGTATCGAGTGTGCCTTTTGTTGTGGGTGTCCGACATTAAGCCATGAGGTCGTTAGGATGACCCTAATCTCAATTTCTGGCGCCAGATGGCAGTGTACGCTAGTACCACGCAACATTATTGCAGTACTGCCAGTTGCATTGTGAAGCCAGTATACAGGACGCGTGCGTTTCTAAAGCATGAACGTCATTTTCACCAGAATTTTTGGAATACGCCGAGCACGAGTGAGTTTAGAGAGGTTTGCACCCGCGACCCAAGAGTTTTCTTTTTCCTTTCGTGCCAGCGAGCTTGCTCAAAGGTACGCATAGATATTGGAAATGGGGGGAGGACAAGAAGAGAATGTAGGATGCATCCACTCGTCAGCATGCCACATAACCTTGAGCTCTTTTGTTTGTTTGTTTGTTTTTTCTTACAACCAGTGGCCTACTTTCAGGTTAGTTGTGGGCACGCTAGTGATCAAGTGGTGGCATCTTGTGGCGGCGACGGTAACCGTGCAGCTCACTATGCTCCGATAAGCCATTGTTCATGAACTTCGTTCCTATAAAGTGGTCATTTTTTGGGTATATGGCATGTTCTGCCGAGAAAAAAAGAGAGCGATCGCTAACTGATTTCGGGAACTAACTGTCAATCCCAGCCTTGGTGCCGCGCTTTAATGTTTGGCTCACGTATTCTCAGAAGCGTCGAGTACCGATTGACAGTGTTTCCGGACCACGCTGATAAAACAAGGGTGAACGCTTCGTCATAGGAATAGGTATAACACGAAAGGGAGACGTGTCTCCACATAGGTAGCTAAGTGTTTACTGTGTATTGTTTTGTTACAAAATTGAAAGAATGAATGTTATAACAAATGTTTCTAATCACACACCCCAATAGATAGCAAGCAGCTCAAAACTTGCAGTGCGCTCCTCAAGCCAAAGGACACAGGACAGGGACAGGACAACACACACAGGACGAGCGCGAGCTAACAACCATCACAGCTCGACTCTCAAAGCACTCTGATCAAACGTGAAGGAGTAGGCACGGCATGAAAGCACAATTATGCATAGCACGAGCGTGAACTACCCAATGTCAAAATTGTTAGTTTCTGTGTGAGCAGCGCGCCTCTTTCACAAACGTGACCACTGCAATGAGCGAAGTGACTTTCGTGCTCTCTGTCTCTTAAACGACTAGTGTTAAAAGCACAAGACGTACAAACCTTACCATCACGAGATAAGCACGCGCACGAGTGACGACGCCCCGTTTAAGTGCGTGCAGATTGCAACGCGTCGGGTGATGACCTTTGAAGTACGCCCTCCGCGTCGTTCACGCCATCTCACTAGTGATTACAAGAACACGCTAAAGTCATCGAGATCTGAGTACTATACTAACGGTGAATAGTGTATATTATTAGATCACCATTAGTAAGATGAAGAAGCCACCTTCTGTGGCCGAATCGACTCATTTCGCCTGCTGTGGAGCGAGGGGTCATAGATTTCGCAATTGCTGACAGAACATTTTCATTTTTTTTGCTTTCATTTTGTGAGTTGTATTAGGTATGTCATTTCTGGGACGAAAATATTCTGTGGAGCCATGGTGAATCCCAAAATAAAGGTGTTGCAGGGTCCTTTTATGGACACCAGAAAATGGCCCTTTTTTCGAATTGAAAGCACTATCGTGTACCAGGCAGCCCCATTTAATCAAATACGCTCGATTTGGTCGACAGTTTTCGAGACGCAAGAAAGAAGAAATGATGGGCAATGAGGGTGGCACTCCGAAATCACCTGCACAGAAATCAGCTGATAGTCAAGTATGCAATGCATTATAGCCTTTTTCTTGCCTAATCAAATAGGTGAAAAAACGAAAGGCATTGTGCGATTAAGAGGAACTATTGTACACGTATAGATTGCTCCGAAGCATAACACTTGTGCACCAGGAAGCACCTCCGCGAATTCGATTGCCTGATTCTCTATACCTTTCCGAATAAGAAACTCCGCTGAGACTCAGTTTCCCCTCGTGCGGCAAATCTGGCTGAACGGAAGCTCATTAGTTTTCAAATCACCTAATGCGCCGTTCATTACTGGCCCCAACATCTCCCACACATTCGATTGCAGTAAATTACCATATAATGTCGTAATTTCATTACCGGGAACTCCTACGAGAAAAGACCTGTTTGTCTTGTAAACGAGTTTTGGTAGGAGTGTGAAAGAAGTACATCGAAAGCTAACTTGACGAGGTTTTCTAAACCACCTACTCCGATTCTTTGTTTATTTCATTTGCACCTAATGAAAATAGACGTGAATTTTTATGCGATTCTTTTATAGTGTTATTCCGTCTCAAGTACACATAGTGCAAGAAGACGTACAATGCTGTATAACCAACAAATCTACAAGGGTTTGTAAGCAGTCATACAAAAAAAAATGCAAAGCAGCTACCTTTGAAACAACTACTTGCAGACGAAGACGTATTTTCAAAGCACTACGTCTATTTTGGCATCCCTTTCGACAAGCCACAGAATACTGTCAACTGCTTATGTAAACACTGTTTTTGAACTTGACATAATCTCGCAAGAAAAACCGGAACATTGTCACTCCAGGCAGTAGTGTCAACGCGCCCATAACTTAAGAATACGAAGAAGGAATCTCGTTGTCTTCAGGTAATGTAGGTTGGGCCTGTTGGTGATTGGTCATAGCTGCAAATGGTATGGCGCATACAGAAACATCCACAAACAAGCCAAGCAAGCATGGTAGCGCTCGTTGGCCCGTGTCAGTGACCTTGTTTTGCTCGTTTGGCATCCGTCGATGTGTACGCTATACCATTCGCGCTTACGCCGCTTTCAAGTTTTGTACGGCGAGTGCAATAGTAGATTTCCTGCATTTCACGGCCATATTTAATGGAATAGCCTATCGCTGACTCCGGAATTGAGCAGCTTTGTCTTTATTTCTCACCTTCTCTTTCAATAATGAGGGAGTCCTTCTCAAATACATTTGAACGCGGTAAAAAAAAAGCGCGCTTGAAAAAGAAAAGAAAAACGAAAAAAGTCTTGCGCAAGCGTGAAAGAGAGGAAGAGACACATGTGCTGGATGACAACTATTCTCTTTTTCGACGTATGTGACCATCAAAAGCTTTTTAGCATGAACTTGTTTTATGCCGGGGTTCACCAAGAATTGACTTACGTCATTACTACCACAGAACTGTTGCCAGTAAAGTGGTTGATGGGTGAGGTATACATAGAATATTTTCGAATGTTTGATTTCGGTAAGCTCATAGATCATCACATCAACCACTCACGGCTTACTGAAAAGTACCTATCACCTTCGATACGATTAATGTTGCAAAATTCTACGGTCGTAAAGAGTACCAGATTGATTATAGACTTGAGGCTGATTTCTTGAGATGTGTTGTCAGCGGTAATGCAAAGCACCGAATTTATTTCGTGCTGCATACAATTACTCGTATGAGAGACACTTCTTTTGTCATCATTAACTCAAGATATTTAAACTGAACCCATTGATCAGTGGCGCTACTGTGAAAACATACAACATCCAGACAAGTTATTCCCAAGAGGGGAAAAAAAAAAACCTTCATGTTTTCGTAAACGACCACATTTTTCTCAATTTTCGGAATTCTTGTCAGGCTCTTGTCAGTAACTAGTGTTGTACAATACTAGCTTTCTTGCGGTGTATCTCTTTGGAAATGAAATTCATGGCCTCTATGCGTTATACTTACCTCGTAAGTCACTGAAGGGTTAAATACTGCGCACAGGTTGCAACAACACGTATTGTGCAAGTGTTGCAAGAACAGCGCGTAGCAGTTATTGACTTGCGTGTTTGCATTTGTGTTCACAAGCCCGTTAACGTCCTGCAACTTGGGCTCTCTAAGCAAAAAACAACACAGATGCAGAGAACGCAGTTATTGCATCAGTTTTTTTTTTCAAGATTTTACTAAAATAGGACACATGTACAAGTTTCACGGACTGTAGCGTGGTGCAGCACACTGTGATCATTAGTGTTGAGGAGCGGTTTCCAAATACAAAAAAAATAAAGAAGAAGAGCAGTAATACCGCGATCCTTCGGAAACCGTAAAGCTTCGCGACAGTCACCACATCGAATGGCAGAGATATACGATCACATGTGGGAAGCACTGCCTTTATTGTCCGCGCCGATAGGCATTTATATAGCAGAGCATATAGGTTTATCTGAAAAGTACCGGTGATAAGTATTCTAAAGTACACGGAGGAACGACTTCGTACAAATATACCGAGTACGGCGCGCTACTCGCAAATATTTATGATATGAAATAGCTAAGAGTGCCTTGTTATTGGTTTTCTGCATTCAGAAAGCTTTTTCGCAGACTAAAATAGTGGATTATACTTCCAGAAATGCACAACATTTCTGTGATACTCACTGTAACCTGTGAAATTTATAGGTCTGTGTGCGACTATGCAAATTAGTCAGCTGGGGATGAAAGAGTGTGAGATGATATGCATTCTTTCTGACGGTGTGTCTCAACTATTCTCAACAGCATACTGATACTACACAGAAGTCGTTGCTCAGCGTTCAGCGAGGATAACGAAGCCACGGGTTTTTGGAAGATATCCTAGACATTCATGTTTAATGCACAAATGAAGCAAGCCTTTGGAGTTTGAAACTCCAAATATAATATACTGTCGTCAAAAAAACCTCCGCTTGAGCTACGAAAGAGTACTCAAAAAAGTTCGTTAACACTTCTGGCAAGCACAGAGTATCTTTTAACACGGTCATGGAAACTGTGGTCTTTTTTTAGTTATGAAACATCTGATATGCATCGTCGTCATTGCTCTCACTAGCGGAGCGTTCGTATACACAGTCCTTGGATGCTCAGCTAATTGCGTAATCACACAGTTCTGACGTGCAAATGACATCTGAAGCAGTGGCGATGCACGTGCGAAACAGTAGTCGCAACATGTTAAAATTATCAGTTCCTTCATGTGCAGTCGCCTACAACAGCTAAACACCGACACAGAATTCGACGCTAACACTTGTATCACATTATCATCAAAGCCATCAACAGTGTAGACAGATCGATGGATGATAGTTCATTCCTTGTGCTTCACTCCTGTCGGTTGCCGCCTAAACATAATTCATTCCTGTCAGGCTGCCGCCTGAACTGTGTAATGAAAGGCGCGTCATAGGTAAACATTACACTTTTCTGAATATGACTTTAAAACAATGGATTTTAAAATACAGTCGCACCAATCTTAACCCTTAAGACATTTGGCTTTAGTTTTTCAGAAGCTTCTTTTTGTTTCTTTCCGGTGTTTAACATGTGACAATGCTTTTTTTTACATAAAGTCGCACGGTAAGATTCTCAAGACTTACGGAGCCACAGAGCAGTTTCACTCAAGTAAGCACTTATTCTTGCTCGCACTGCTTTCACGCCACTCAAGTACTTTGTCTCAGCCCAGTCAGTTGGTATACCGATCACACAGCATCGGGCGTTGGCTCCCAAGTCAACAAGGCCAAGTCAGTAGACCCAGACAGATCGGACGCTCCGTAACCCTTGCGGTTGTGGTTTCCGGACCGCAGAGATCGGCTGTACAGGCGAAAGACGCGCGAGTTGCAGGAGTAGGCGAGAGCCACGAAGAAACCTTGCACCGATGCGAGGATGCAGAAGGCGAACCAGACGGCCTTGAGTCGAGCCAGCTGCGCTGCCAGTCCCGCCACCCAGGTGAGTGTGAGGACCAAGAGTAACTTGGCGTAGAGAAACAGCTGCAAGTAGCGCCTCCGTTTCATGCGGTCCCTCGTCTTGCGGTTCATCTGTAGGCTGGCTGTGTAACGGGTCAAGATGGCCGCCTTGACGAAGTACCGCACGTCGGAGACAGCCAGAACGAAGGCTGGAAGGCAGAATGTCCAGAGGTAGGAGCCACGACCGAGGATCCAGCAGGTGATCCTGTCGTCAGACGTCTGATCCAGCACGGTGCCGAAGTGGACCACTCCAGAGAGACCCGTCAGAAGTAATGGAAGGCCCCACGCGAATGCGGCCGCTTTGAGGAACGACTTGCGGTCCTCACTGGCCGGTGAGGGCTGAAGATTAATGTTGTCCCTGAAGGTCTTGTACATGTCCCTGGACATGGCTGCGAGCCAACAGTGAACCGCCAGCCAGAGGAAGTGAAGCAAGAAACCAAGGGTGACGCATAGTCTTTTGTCACTTGGGCGTTCGACGCCGATGACGCTCAGGAGGTGCGACAGAAAGAAGGCGGCAAGGAGGTTTAGCAGGGACGTACCGCTGAGTGTCCTTAGGTCCGAAAACAGGCTGTATGTTATGAAGGTCAGGACGACCCCGACTATAGACAAGCTCGTGCCGATGACAGAGAGCAACGACAGAAGACCCGTGGAACCCGGGCCAATTTCGTAACCGGCGCCAGATACCCACGTTCCGTTGACTTTGTGCAGATGTGGTGCGTATCCACCGTCGCCAAAAGTGTGCAGTCCCACAGCAAACACGTCAGCCATGGTGGTTGATTTTGAAGAATATTGAAAAATACACGACGCAAAAGGCCGCTGTTGTCACAGATACCACTTGTGGAGAACGTTGCCGACAGTTTTCAGCGATGCTGTGGAAGATATGTGGCGAACCACAAAATTTCCCTGGCAGAAGAACTTGCTACTCAGTATCTCTAAATTTTCAATTTGCACTGAAGAATGATGTGGCTGCTATTGATACTTATTACGGTTTGCACGTGCTTGCTTGTTGTTTTCCGGATTCACACAATTGAGAGCCTCAGCCTTGTTCTATCGAATGATTTTGCAGCACACGCTGAAGACGATTACTGTTTCTTTTTTCCCTTTTTTTTCAAAACTTGCTACCTCTTCTGTGGCACCTAAAAAGTCGCCTCACTTCAGGTTGCAGTGGGCGCCCCTTTATTTAGGCTGGCAAAATTAACTGATAACGGCACAACCTGATTTAACAAGGAGCCTTCTACTTCTTCTGCTGTCATAAAAGTGCCAATATCACCTATGTCGTTGAATGCACAACCACGTAGTACTCAACACGCATTCGCATGCCGACGGAAGAGTACTTACAGACCGAGCATTCAGCGTCCACTAAATAACACGCGTGTGCACGTGAATGGGACTTCGTCGGTAGTTGTGCTATCTTCGATTTCAATCCAGTGGATGTTTCCAGGATTTTTTTTTTCAGTTAGGTCAAGACGCCGTTCTACTGAAAGTGTTCAGCCAGTTTAATTCTTCTTGAAGCACGATGTTCACGGGAAATCTTGAATGTTTGTCTTGTTACAGAAAAACTTCTCTTGTGCTTCTTGCACGTATAGTTTCGCCCTCAACTACTTGAAAGGTAGTTACGGACGTCTTAGAATTCGGCGTCAGCTTCTGTCATCTATGCACGAAAGCAGTCATGACCAAAACTGATTGTTCTGACTGCCTTTTTCAATTCTTATTTTACCAAAGTGATCCTTGTGCTTCTTTCAACGGCAGATTCGCCTGCACACATTGATTGAATTCATAAGTTGGATATTCCCGATTATGACTGCAGCTGACTTAAGCAGAGATCACTTATTTGAGATGAACGAGGATGCAGGATATCCACCAGGAACGCACACACACTGAACGAATGGCAATCGTCGAAATGCTGAAACACCAATAAATGTCCGATGAGACGCTCGTTGATTTTTGTCAGAAATACTCCCGTCTTATTAATTGAGGAGTTCGAAGGCACAACTCGGATAAGGAGAGAAGGGGTTCACGTGAAACTTCTATAACACCTTTGTCAACTGTACAGCACGCCGTCACAGGGGCATAGAAATATCCACGTCCTTGATTGCCTGGCTGCTAGTTCAGGTTCGGAACCGCTGAGAGCCACAAACTAAGTGAAGCGAACGCGTCGCGGCACACCACATCAAAAGCCAGGCGTCCGACAAACTGAAGAGCACGAAGCGAGCGGTGTTCACGCGTCGACCGCTTGCCGTCGTTTGACTGTGCCGTGGCTCGCACGCGCAGTTCTATAGCACCGGGAAGCCGAGCGAGCGACAAGGAGAAAGAGGGAAAAGGAGAAATGGGGGAGGAAAGGAAAGGTGAGGGATCCCGTTACGACAACAAACGAGGAGGGAGCCCGAACGGCAGATGGAATGGGAGAGGAGAGTTGGGGAAAAGAGAGCAACAGCGGAGGGAAAGGATGCGCTGGTAAACTGGAGTGGGCGTGCGCAAGTGCTTGTTTTGAACTCGGAGGGAGCTCGATGAAAGGGTGAGTGGGAATACGTTGTTAGGTGCCGCCATCTCTCGGCGCCACGCGGAAGTTTACAGGTGCTTTTTTCGCTGGGGAATGAATCTTCGAGCGGTGTGTTTCGAAGCGGCGTGCGGCTGATTGGCGCAGACGTAATTGTGGCCGATTTGGGCGCGGATCACCTGCAGTAGCCAAGGAGTGTTCCGATTTCTCCGTGAAACCGTAATCACAGTAAGGGAACATTAGGAAGGCAGAGATTCGGCAGCTCTCGGTAACTTGGCCGAGGGAACACGCTGTGGTCCTCCGTGCCCGGTATTTCGCCGCTCTCGTTGTTTCAGTTGCGTGAAGCTGTCTATAAAAGCTCGAATGTAGGCGCGTTTGTAATGCTTCGTGCTTTTATAATGAATAATTATTATGTATTGTACTCCATAGCTTTTGATAATGACCTTTAAAGGGCAACACTTGTTGGTACAAGTGGCCTGGTTAAGGAAGCGGACGTACTTTGCACTTAAATTAGTCAGGTAGATATTATCGATATAATTACCTAATGAACGCTCAAGACACGTTTACAAACATTACATTTGTGAAAATGAGCAGTAGTTAACCCAGGCCTGCTAGCAATCATGTTGAGGAAGAAGTGCATATTAATTGCCCAGACTGATAAAGGGTTGGTTAACTGATACGTAGGATTTAACGTCCCAAAACCACCATATGATTATGAGAGATGCCGTAGGGGAGGACTCCGGAAATTTGGACAACCTGAGATTCTTTAAAATGCCCACACTAATAGTAAGACTAGTCAGAGAGAGAGAGAGAGAGAGAGAGAGAAAACAAACGTCTTATTTCAAGAAAAAGCTCTGGAGAGGCGCACCTAGTTCAGGATAGCTTAATGTCGGGCCGCGTCCATGGCCATCGCAACCCGCCTTATCTCATGGCGGAGGTTGGAGCTGATCAAGGCTTTTTTTCTAAAGGTCATGGGTGATGTACGTGGCAGCTGGGGTAAACGTAAGAAAAAAAAAAACAAGATATATCGAGAGTTTAGTTTGTTTTTCTTTGTTTGACACAGCCAACAGATATTGAAGGCAGGGAAAGGGTACGACATTTTATTCGTTTAGTCCGTAATTCATCTCTTTGAATATCAAAATAACTATACTGAGCGAAGGGAACAAGATAACTGGCCGCTGGTGGGGACTGAACGATAATGTCTCATTCTTGTACGGGTGTAACAGTTGTATGCAGTAATGTTTTGTTGCAGGGGAAAAGGCTTCATATACAAGTGTGCGCAGGTAGCGACGATTCTAGTTGGGACCGATTTCGGAAACTAGATTCCACGATTGCGAGAACATCTCAGTACGTTGTCATTCATATTTACACGGACATCGGGTATGCGCACACATTTGTGCATCTCAAAAGATCGGTGTTCAAGCTTCCCAACGTTTCGTGACACCCTTCGCAGTCTTCTGTCACGCCCACCGGTCTCCCCCAGGAAGCGTCATACAAAAAAAAAAAAACTCGAAAAAAAAAACATAACCACAGTACTAAGCGATCGTGACATTTGACACTTTCGCTTACGGAGAGCACTTCGCGGACGCTTTCTGTCGCGCCAGAAAAACAGGCCTCGACCTTAATTGCCTGAAATGGGCTCTCGCGAAAGTGCTGCCACTTCACGCTACAATAGTGTCCTGCCTGTTGTTTTCACGTCCCCATCTCCCTCCACAACGAGTATGTTTGCTCCGAGATGCGCAGCATGGAAACAAGCACGCTTCTGTGCGCACGGGGCTGGGCCCAAATACGAGGAGCCGCAAACTTGATTCCCGTCGGCGCAACAAAGGAAGCGGGAGGACATGCGCAGTCTGGGGGCGAAGGGAGCTTGCCCTCGGGGAAAAACGGATTACGCCGACGAAGCATTTTTCGGCGCAAGATACGTTTTTTTGTTATTGCTCAGCTTGCCTTTAGACGTTTTACGATCTGCCAAGGAAGGCGTTCAAAAGAGGCGGGACATGTGAGCAGTTTGAGAAATAATAGGTTGTGAAAGGAAATAAAGTAAATAGAGACGTGAAATATCAAGCTATGGAACCAAAATAGACTTATCTTAGCACTATTAGAAGAGCAGGGGGTTACCATCAAGTTAATCACCCATACAAAAATTCTTATTGAGAAAACAAAAAGAAGTTATTGAGCAATGACAACAGATGGCATCAAAAATAAATAATGGTTCGATTAAAATATGGATGAGAAAATTGTTAAACAGGATTGAAATTATGCTCACGACTTTCAATTGAAAAGTGATCAATCAACTCGATATAGAAACCACAGAAATATTGTTTACAAAATACTTCCTGAACGGTATTTCATTAGAAATGAGTCAATGGCATTTTTTTTCAAAGTGCATAACAGCAATATTGTCGACGAAGCATTGAAGCAAGTCAATGAGTATTGCGGAACCATTGATGATCAGTAGAGTCAGTCATTTGATCATAGTCTGACAATGGAAGATCAACAGTCATTTTCGTAAGGCCATATATACGCCCATGCTTGTAAGCAGTGGTCGCCGCCGACGTTGGGCGCTTGTAGCGACGTCGAAGTGCGTAGGCTCTGCCTAAACCAAAGTTTACCACTACCCTCCATGATCACGTGACAACAGACACAGCAGCTGCAAAGCTGCCTACAAGGCTGCTCGACCCACTGTGTTCGGAGAAAATGCGCCTAAAAATGGACAACAGCTCTTTTGTGTGCTACACCACACGGTCAGACATGGTGCATGATTGCACTGCAAAGTGGGTCGGGACTGTTCTGCTGTACATTAGCATAATTACCCACCAACAGCTCCGTGGACGTAAACGTCATTGCAGTGGTTCTTTCGGTGGAACCACTTAAATCGAGTAAACCACACGTGACCACTACTTCGATTCTGTCCCCTTTTCCCTCTCTCAGGATGTAGCACTATCGATTGCGTCTGTGGACGGTGATTCAGAAAAAAACAAGATACAAATGCAGACACTGTGAAAATTGGAAAACCCCCAAAAACTAAATCAAATTTAAGTTTCCCATTATTAGGAAGATAACATATTAAGGGTGCTAATTTTCGCGGTGCGCACGAGGCGAGGGCACGTGAATAATGGCTGACGTGCCTTCGAGAGTTACCGTCTGTGGAAGTTTTTGCTGCGTAGCCTGTATCAGAACGCGGTCGACAGGAATACCGTAGTGCACCAAATGCAGGGAAACCTCTTAAGACGTGGTCTGACTTGAGCAACGAGCGTTCCATTGCTCGCGGAGGTGGCCAAGTGTGCCAAAGCTGTTTAACTGCCACAATGCAAGGAATCTAGATGTTTATGCACACGGCTGGCCTATTCAATAAATGAGGCACATGTGTAATAATTCGTGAGTCGTCCGCTTTTTCTATCACGTATGCAACAACGTTACAGCGCACACACAAGTTATTTTCAGCCTTCAGAACAACGTACTGTCGGGAAAGCTGGCCTTTGCTAACCGGCATACTGTATCGTTTTAAAGCCGTGCCAAGGTCCAAACCTTTTGAAAGATATTCTCTTTTGGTGGGTGGGGTCTGCATCTGTCTTTAAGGCAAAACTTAAAGAGGGGGAGTTAAAGAAAGAAAGAGAGGCCAACAAAAATTAGAA